CAAGACCTTGGTGAGTCTCACCCATGTCAAGATGTGAGCCCAGTAACCAGGACGATTTTAAATCTGTATCAAAACATATTGTCAACAACTTTGAACGCTAAAAGTAATCTATAGGCGTGACCAAAATACAGATATAAGACCTTGAGTACGTTTCCAAGTTCTAGCATGGGCACAAGAAAGAAGAGCCGTATCAAAATATTTTTTGATTTCTTCATTGAACATCAGGGATACCACAATTGCTGCCACAAACATTCCTATAAAACAAATGAAACCAAGGACAACATAAAATTAGAAAACTAAACTAAGGATTAATTTCAATTACCTGCTTCCAAAGGTAAAGGAAGCCAAGGCCTATACAGAAACAATGTAAGGAACTCGCCCAGTTCTGAATCACTTCTGTCCGTTAAGGCAAAGATAATAGCTCGAGTAATATCTTCCCTGCAAGACACAACACAAATACAGCCCAATGATATCGTGGTGAAGAAAATCACATCAATTGAAGATTTTGCATCTTCCAAAATTGGAGAAGATTTCCTTTTTGTCTGTTAATAAAATAAAGTTACAAAAAACAATAAACCCTATACAACATATGTTCTGATACAATACCATAACGGGTAAAAGCGTACTAAATAGAGCATGCTTAACCATTCAATTAGTTTTGAGTCGTAAAAACTTCAACAACAAATAATATTCCCGACGAATGGTGTTTAACAGATGTATAGCAAAATCCCCTCGAACCATATCCCAACCCATTTGTGATAAAGATTTGGCCTAATAGTTTTGTAAACTTCTTCACTTAGACTTTAGAAACTAGGCTTTGAAAATGCTTTTATGAAACAAAATGTCACTCTACGGGTGACAACTGAGATACTTCACCTTCTAATCCTGTGTTCCTACATATGCAACGCCAAGGCCAACTATTACACACCAACTCAAATACTTGAATCATTTGCGTCGACATAACCTCCTACAAGTGTCAATGCTTGAAGATATCTCGGATTAGTTTAAGAAAACAACACAGAAGAAAATTGAAAATAAAAACAACAATAAGGAAATGTTAAGCCTATAAAAAACTTTTGGCATATAAAAAAAATGTTGGTTTACAAGCCCTACGGTCATTCTTTATACTGTAGTTGACAATGCCAACTACTAATAATGCACACACATTGGCATGGTTGTCATTTTGTGGAAGTATTTATCGATTTGTTTTGGTCTAAAATCAACATCCCATTATACAATCATACCCTACAACAGCAAAGGTTTCAACATTGGCAATGCGTTGAAAAGGTCACAACCAAGAAAAGAAAATCCTCGTGGAGAAGGAAAAGAAATACCAGACTTATTGCAGCTCCTGTCTTCCCATTAACCTTATTCAAAAATTAGGGCAGCCAGTGGGTCGCATTTGCCCGCTGAACACAAACAGATCAGAACCGTTTATAATTCTAGAATTATAACGGTTCTGGTTCCATGATTTTGTCTCAAATAATAATTCGATCGGTGCATGGTATTCCCTGTCCTGAACCAATTCATACCCGGAACCAGTTGTTTTCTAAAGTGTGTACAAGATTTTCTTAATTCTCCAATATCTTTTAGCACATTTTATCTTATAAATGCCAATTATGATAGATAATATTAGTTAAAATATTTAATTTATTAATATATCAATAATAATCATTTTTTGTAAATTTTATTGGGGTTATATTATCGAAATTCAAAATTTAATTTATTCTTTAAATATATACTTCTAGTTTTCAGTTCCGGGTCTATGAATTTATCCATAGTAATAATAATCGATTCGAGGCTGGTTCTACCAAAACCCAACCCATTGGAAGCCTTATCTTGAGTAGCAAACTTCCAAAGCAAAAACCATTTGAAGTTTCGGAAGGAAGGAACAATCATC